GTGAATCACATGTGAAATAAATATTATTGATACATCATCAATTTAATGAATTTGTTTTTCCACATAAGGTTTTGAATGTTAAAGAAGTGAATTTGTGGCAATTTAATGTGCCACATGGGCACCTCCATTGATGGAAGGACAAAGTTGGGACCGAAAAAAATAAAGTCTTAAAGACTAATTTCATAATTTTTTAAGTTCAGGTACTAAATTGGTGATTTAACCTTAATAAATGGTGGTTTATTATTTGTACCACAGTGGCCCACCGTAGGGCGGGTTTGGAGTGCCATATGGAGCGCGGGATGGGCAAAATTCTTGTATGTCCCATTGTATCCAATGTTTGGATGGTCAAAGGACTAGATAAAATTTACCCGACATTTCGTCCCATCCAGACCTCCTTCAAGAAAAATTAAAAAATATCTAAGCTCCAGTGAGATTGGGTGGGACATGATTTAATTTCATTCAGATTAAAAAATAAAGCAAATTTCATTTTTACCCTCTCCATTTCACATGTTGGGTGAATCTCATGGGTGGTCAATCAATATTTTGGTTACTCAACTTATACCCCTAACAAAATGGTCACCTAACTTTGTAAGTTGTCTATACGTTAGTCATTCACAGTTAATATTAATGGAAAATGAAGTGACTAGGTTAAATGCCACGTAGGATCTAATGTCATTTTTAAGTATAAGTAAGGTCATACCATGTTTAATTTTATAAATTTCTATCTACTAGTAATTTAAAAATGTGAGATTTTTCAACTAAATAGACATGCAACCACAAATCATGAATTTTCTAATTGAAAAATTAAGATTTTATTTAATATGATTGTATTCTTTTTTGACTTTTAAAAAAAAAAAAGATATAAGGATAATATTTGTATTTATCAATAGTACACTTTAAAAAGAAATAAAAGAAAAAAAGATTGTCTTGTAATTAGATGATTAATTAAAATCAATAGATAATGATAGAATTCATGCAAAAAAGATAATAATAGAGTTAAAGTATGAGAAAAACATTTATTTACCTTAAAAAATAAAAACAATAATTAATTTGAGATCAATTTAAAGTAAAAAAAATGACAATTATTTTAGGACATAGGATATAGTTTGTAATTTTTTATTTTAATTTTAAAAAATTTAAAAACCTTAA